ATCTTCGAACAAGATTAATGCTATAAAAAAATAAAGGGCAGTGAGTTTTCAAAAACAATCGAATCAAGGTGTCGTTCGGAAAGCAAAATCATGACTTGAAAGAAATCGGTAAGAAACTGAGAGAGATCTCCAGATGATATTAAGATTTTAAAAATAACAAAGGGCAGAAATTCCTCAAAATACAGCCAAATCACAATGCTATTAAATAAGTTTAACACTGATAGAGATGATCTTCAAACAAGATTAACACCATGAAATGAATGGCCAGTAATTCTTCCAAAGTCGAAATAAACTGCCATTCGGGAAAATACAACTGCATGTCATGGTGTTGAAGCCTACCAAGTTTGAACTAATCATGTTAAACTATGGGAGTAAACTTCCGACAAATATAAGTTTTTGACGGACGTACGGACAACGCCTTATCATAAAACGTTCCGTCAAAGTTGATTGGCGTAGATAAGTACACGTATTACTATGAACTTTCTTGTTTGAAATATACAATACCCGGGAAATTAAACATCCCAAGGATCTGTCTCTCACTATTGGGTGTACATTTATCAGATTACATCTATATAATATTTTAGAGACCGGGATATGCACTTCGAAGTTTCCTTCCATAAAAAAAGCAGCCAAAAATGACAATTAATCATGGAAACAAGTTAGATACTTGAGTGATGTCAATAAATTAATCATCGATACAGACTAAAACTAAAACCATGTTTATAAGTAGTAAGTTGAAGAAACTGACTTGCAAAAGAACTTCAAACTCAGATGGTTCTAAGTTACAAAATGTTGAGAAAGTGTGTTGATGAACCTTTCTCTTGAAACAACCCCTTCTTATCCGAGAATATCTGGTGTGATGAAAGAGATGGATTCTATGACATGAAACCCGTTGGGTGAATGATTAACTTGCACCTGTCATTATATAAGGCGCGACTGACCTCACCTTCGTTGACATAATGAATGACCTCTGCACACATGTAACCTGGCCCCATGGTTTATATAAATAACCTGACCCCATGGGTTATATAAACGAATGCCTCACTCCATACTAATTTTTATTCATGAACCAATCTTTGTTGTATAAGCAATTCAACGAAAATCCAAAGTCAGATCTCAGGTCCAAATAAAAAGCGGAAACTTGGTTCCATTGTTCATGAGGGGTAGTTAAGCCTTCATCACATCAGAGATGTGCTTAGGTAAGAGGGGGATTCTACTTTCATTCAGCTCTACGGATGATCGAGTTTACTTTCACTTCTCGATGATTTAAACAACAAAGTGTAGCACACCATAAAAACAAAACCGACCTAACAACTAAAATTCATTTTATCATCGCCTTTGTACATTTTAATAGCAAAATTATAATTTAGTGTGTACTCTTGTTCCTCTTTTATAACACACACAGGTCAATCCATTATCGTCCATATGAATGCGGAACACAGCATTAGCTCCATTGCATTAACTCCGCTTGTCTTTCAACATCATTATCATAATCTTTCCTCAGATAAGTGGTCCAAAATGTTGAAGTAAACCTCAAATTTATTGCTCGCGTTTGGCATGTGGCTTAAAGGATGCGGTATTTACATCAGCTTCACCCAAAGAACCCTTAATCAATTTGCAAATGTACAAGCAGAAATTGCCTTTCCAGAGTTTTATGATCCTGAAAGTCTAGTCTTCCTCATGCTAGAAGTTTTCTTCGCGTATTCCAATAAACTCCTAACAATCCTGAACTTGGGGTCTCCTGACTTCACAACTGTAAACTCAAAAGTGACTTTTACTGTTTAAATACTTTTAGAAGAGACAGAATTGGTACAAACAATCCTATAAGGCTTTCTCCTGCGGAATCCCCTTTCTTATTTCACTTTACTTTTTCAGTAATCTCTTTTTTTTTGTTCATATTTTGCAAGAGTTTTATTGAATTAGAGCTTGGATTATGTTTCTGCTCACATTTTGGTATTTTCGTCTTGCTCTTAAAGACCACGTCTATCTACTTCCGCTGTGAATGACATAAAAGCGTGATTTGGGTTGAGGCACTTAGTTATATATGGATTACCCTTGGAACCAGGTGACACGCGTACAGAGATGATTCATTCGTCTCCCTGGAGAGTTACAAGCGCAAGTGTACCTGAACAGCCATAGGGCTGAATGGAAATAAAACTAATTTCAGACTAGCAATTAAAAAGGGACCCCCAGTAACGACTTGATTCACCTATCAAAATGGTTTATTTTTTACATATAATTGTGCTTAAAAATAAAATACAAACAACATCATGAAGTATACTTTTGATGTATATTATAGTGTCCCTAGTTAAATTAAAATTTGATTAAAATTTCTAGCCTAGAGTTGAATACAATCAATTTGTGTTAATGTTTTGATAAATGACGAGTCTTTGCCCCAATGCTGAGATTAGAGTACTCATATGAGCAGTGTCCACACAATTAAAAGTAGTTCCTGAACAATAAGGAAGTATATCACTTCCAGGCAAGCAACGGTAACGTTAAATCCTTTAAACAAGATAGCCCAATACTTTTAAAATAGTCTTCCAACAACAACAACTGTCACATGAGAGTAAAACACTGGACTGAAATATAATAGTGACCAGTGCCAACAATCCGCTTGATTATTTAAGCTGAAATACTTTATGCTATGTTATGTAATGTATATCTAATTATAAAAGTCAAATCTTAGATAAAAGTGATTTTATCACCGATTAAATTTTGATTGTTATCATTTTTTGCAATTTGATTCATGCTATAGTAACCCTTTGCCATATCATATATTGTCAAATATCAATGCAACATGAGAGCTTTTGCATGCGTTACTTGTATAAGGAATTTTGATAAAAATCATTATTTGTAATATATCAATTTACTCTAAGATGACAATGCTAAATGTTATTATTTATTTGATAATGGTTAAGACGATCAGAGTTCAGTTTGGCGGATCTGATGAGATCTGGTTAACATTATGATCCGTAAGCCGCGACATTGCAGTTTGACTCAGTTCGTGAATCACTTTTCTATGTGAACAAAGGGAAATAACTGCTTCAGATGTCTGTTTAGATGAGTCAGCTCATGTCATGGAATAAGAAAATACATAGTGATACATGTATTGAAAATATTGAAGTATTCCTTAGTACAAAGTATACACCGAGTTGAGAAACGTAGATCATGTCAACTAAAGATCTTGGTAAATACCTGAGCATGGTGGCGTCATCATAAATACTTTTGATCACATGAAATTTCGGGAAATAATAAAACTTCCTCAAATAAGAAATAAATGCTATCTTACATATACTTTCATCATACGTATGCGTATATGTTAACCGTTTATTTTTTAAAACTCTAATAAAGGGTATTTTTATCCCTACCGCCCCCTAAATGAAGGTAGTGGATAAATTGGAAGCTGGTTGTCAGTCCATCCGTCTGTAGACACAACGATGAACCGGCTACCTCTCAACTTCTGAATCAATTTCAGTCATACTTGCTAGCTAAAATCCTTATGCATTGCAGATATGCACAATCTATATCGTCTTGAGCTACCTCAACTTTTCTGAAGTTATGCCCCCGGACAACAGTTCTATGTTTTGAAGACTTAACCTAGTCATTAAATGATTTAACTATCCATCACACCTTAATAACAAGTTTTGGATGGTTGACTTATTCCGTCGAATATTGTTTCTGTCTCTTCAGTAAAAGATCTGTATTTCTGCCTAGATGCCAAGCTAGATATTCCAACATAATGAATGTCCTGAAAACACTTCTGGCTTCCTAAATGAAATGCTTGAAAATGAGGATGGCCACACTCTTTTATATCATTTGTGGTATTCGCGTATTCTAGTAATAATTTAACGTTGTTTGCGTCTCTAAGTATCAATGTAATGTTATTTGCGTCTCCAAGTGACAACAGAATTTTGTTGACGTCTCCTAGTAACAGTAAAGTTGTTTATGTCTCCTAATAACAATGTTATGATGTCTGACTTGTTTCCACAGACATCGTGCTTTCCAGAAAGTCTGTCCATGTTCATTTCTTCGAAAAGATAAACAAGCCATATTTGTTTCCCGCTTCGGCATGACGCTTTTTTGATCGGATGTTCATGTTACTAACAACCAGCATTCACCATGAATTGTTTTTATGTTTCTCTCAAGGCGTACGACAGTATCAAATTACGAATCGCGAAGACTTTTCATAGTAAATGTCATTCATGTCTTAAGGTTTGCTTTGATTGTCTGATAAATAAGGTATTTCCTTGATATATTTTCAGATATTTCAGGCACAAATTCAATCAAACTAGTACAAAATATGAACAAAAGAAAGATTTGCTCCGAGACTCCCGTAAAAGTACAAGGAAAACAAGAACAGTTGTTCCGGAAGAGTAAGCGTCCTCTTCTCTATCAACAACATTTGCCATGTAAACCCAAGTAGGTAATGTCTTGTTTTCAAATGAGATCAAGGTATGCAACAACGATCAGCAAACTAATGAGCATCAAATACGTCAAGCTTCATATCGCACAAAAAGTAGAATATTTCTCAAGGATATCACTTTAATAACCGTAAAACTTCCTCTTATCTTTTTATCAATCTGCAACATTTGAAAGCCTGTGTTACGACTTTGTCCGTTACTGGACGACTCTTGCACAAAATAATGGGAGCAGGCCCTTGAATATCGAATCAACTGCAATATGTAGCCACCATACGTTAGGGATACAGAAATGATGCTATCCAGGAATGGAAAATTTACGATAGGGAACTGAAATCATTGTGTTTACTTGATAATTAATGCAATCTAAAAATGTGATATCATGAACACGCGTAGAAAAAATGATAAAGTTAGTTACATAGAAAGTTTTTAAAAAGTATAGCATTTCATGAGCTCCCTATGAAATCCGTGAACATTTCTAATGTTGGTGAAATTTGCAGGGAAATCAGGCGAATCTCAAAGTATATACAGAATTTCGAAAATAAAGAAAAATGGTTAATAAGAAAATAACTCAAAACAAATAAGATATGTGATTTATTCAATGAATGACTGAACATAATGATGATTTGATATACAATACATCATTTTAAAACAGTTTGATTGTTCAATTAAAGAATTAAAAATGAAAAGTTCATGAACATTTACATCTTGGTCGACTGCAATGCTATATATTGTAATAAATTGCTTTCACCAAGTGATGCCATCGTTTCCTTGGGTATCTCATTTTATCGTGAAGTCATCAATTATGTCTTAAATAACTTTAATGCTTTTCTTTTGGTACTCTTAGTTAACAGTAGATAAGTATTATCTATTTAAACAGTATATGGAGCAAAATAAGATACATAATGTGGAAATGAGTATAATTATAAGTATGAGTATAATTTAGAAAGATTACATAGAGTCACTGATATTCCACATGACATCCATCGTGCTTTATTTCGGTGTCTTCTACTTCCCTCGTAAGGGTAACGGGTTCAGTTTGGATTAATCATGTCCAGTTCTCATTTACTTCAATCTGTAATGTAAATAGTCAGACACTTGACCGTTAGTCGATTTTTTTTCTGGAAAAACGGAAAATGTAAAACTCTAATGGATCAGAACAATCAACGCAGACAATATATATATATTTATATATATGTGTGTGTGTGTGTGTGTGTGTGTGTGTGTGTGTGTGTGTGTGTGTGTGTGTGTGTGTGTGTGTGTGTGTGTGTGTGTGTGAGAGAGAGAGAGAGAGAGAGAGGGAGGGAGTGTGTGTGAGTGGGTGTGTGTGTATGTGTGTGTGTGTGTGTGGCCTATATTGAGAATTTATCAACAAAATGTAAGGAGCATGTCAATGCCAAATTAATTAAAGATACATTTTTGCATTTTAACATAACATGAAAATATTTTTCAGATGGTAAAAAGAAACGATTTGTGTAGTTTTTTACAGCCTTTTTATGTAGCATCTTGAATTTCAGTATCCTGAGCATACTTCTAATTCAAATTGCTTATTCACAGACTCTCTGATTAAACTTATTTATAAACTTTAATCCCTTATTGCTGTTTGTTGCAGATGATTCCATAGCTATTCATTATAGTATCAAATATTCGGTGTATTTGATTTATATTGCTATTATTCATGTACTTTTTCAGGAGTCTCCTTATTAATCTTTTTGTTCATATCTTGGTCTAGTTATATGGAATTTGAGTTTGGATTATGATGGTATTGCCGTGTTAGTATTTTCTTGACGTTTTATATTGCTCCAAAACGTAAAAACAAATCATAAGTTTTTTCTTATGAAGGGATTTCAAAAATATATATATATAAAGAAATCATACCTATTAAACTTATTAGTTATTTTTCCCGTTTTTTATGTATAATAGTAATTGTTAATAGGAAATGAAATCATCATTCAGTTCAAGAGAATTTTTACATATAACTTTGCTAGAGAATCACTAAATCATTGGACAATCACTCATTTAGTGCTCTTCTTAATGAGTTTCATAAATTGTCAACCGGATGCGTTTGATCCTCCATTGCTCAATTTGCCTAAAATAACATCCAAGTTTTTTAACCAAACCTCTGGTCTAGCTTTTATTGAGCCTAATGAACGAAAGAGCAAAATTCAACCTTCACTGAAATACATTTACGTATACATTATAACTTTTTAAAAAACAAAGTTCTGTTTTCCTCGTAAGTTCTCTTATGCTTTCTGATCGCGATCAAAATTTGGTATCTACATTAAAAAAATTTGAGCATATAATTATTTGCTTTCACATTAAGATAATGTCACTTACTCTTCCACTGTATCCCACTCTTCGTTTTCCACCTGAATTTTATAGGGGAAAAATACTTCCACCCAAACAGGTCGTTTAGCAACTGCAAATTCGGTATCCGAAGTAAACTTCATCCATTCGTTGTCGACAGGATCAATCTTCTGCATATGCTCTAAACATTCAAAGGTATCGCCTTCCTTTACAGCCATAAGCCGGATATATTTGTTACCGGAGACCTCCGCTTTTTGTCCAAGGTACAGATTCACGCTGCTTCCAAGTTGGCTGAAAACTTTTTCAATCGGTATCTTCACGCGCTGTGTGCCATAAGGCGATTTGTTTGGCAGATTACCATTGAAAAGTGTTGAACAGAACCAGACTCCATCTGGAATCTTATCCTTGTACATTGGATTCAAAAGTCGCATCCAATCTGCCGATTGATTTTGGGGCTGTGGAATAATTGCTTGTGCTTGAATGATGTTTGGTTTGAAAAGCGAAGTTGTGACATGGTAAAATAATTTCACTTTTTCCATGTCCAGAGTGCATTAAAATTCTTCTAGTCAAATATTTTCATGTATCTATAAAAATGAAGAAACTTATAATATTTTTAATATCGACGCGCGATTTATAGCATACATATACCACCGCCTACCGGAAAGAGGACGATAATTCGGAACCAGATACTTAACACCATTACCGATATATGTAAATAATACGTCATACATAGGATAATTTTTGTTCAGAACTATAGCATGTTCGTGCGTTTGATTTATATCAAATAGTATTTAGAAGATATAAATGATGAATATACATGTACGTTTTACTCATTAAAAGTTGGTTGCCACAAGAAATACAGAAATGTTCATCCGTAATTAGGCTTCAAACATTACACGGAGGGAGAGCCGCATAGAGGATAGCAGGCAAAACAAAGTTACACCATGATTATTAAGAATGTATTTTCGTAATAAATCATTTTCAACATGCTTCACATACTATAAGTGGATGCGTGCTTGTAAAATATGCAAACTTTAAAGTTGTTAGTTTTGTTGCCGCGTTTTGTCATGATTATGCTTATTAAAATAGAAATTATCGATCAAAGAAAAATGAAAATTAGCATACATCTTCAGGGGAAGGGCAGCAGCATCAAACTACCATGTATGTATGTCTACTGAGGAGAATAGATTTAATTTAAACACGTACATGTTAGAATATATGTGATATATAGCTATCATAGGATTTAAGTCAAAGTAAATTGATGCAGAAAAGAAATAATATACAAAAGGTCATTCGCCATAAAACAGGAAAACACCTGCTTACTATCAAAACAGGCATTACTGTTAATGAGTTTTCAATCTCCTGGCTCGAAGGCTATTAACATCTAAAGTCGTTTCAGGCCAGTAAGGTATTCCGGGAAAGATATCTGAGCTCTCCTTAAGAGAGATGAAAACATATCTGTACGAGGTTGGTCGTTGAAATTTTATGGTTACTTTGTGAGACGGCGCAAAGTAGCAAAGAAACAGGTTGTGTTGTCAATTTTTAGATCGGACTAGGCGCATCACGGTGAATAGTAATGAACAAGAGAAACATGTTATTAGAAAAGAGATTGGAGTTGGTTGTGGAATTACATGGAGAATGGGTGAATGACCTTTAATAATATCTGGGACTATTGAATAAATAGGAGAAAACAGGTGTGAAACTAGACATATGTCACACTCGTATAGGAAGCCCAGGTTAGTAATTTGGAACCAGACCAGGGTAAAAATGATACTATGTCACAGCTATGAGGCTCTTTAGTATTACGATCCTTTCTATAATATGGTTATCACTTTCACTGATAATACAATCAACGGAATCTGAGATTGCATCCAACAACCCAGTCTAAATAATCTTAGTATGAATTGAAAAACTAAATGAGGAGCTTTTATTAAATCAGCGCTTGAGTATCCGAACTTGTATGATACAAGTGTCTTGGTGACTGATATTATTGATCTGTCGTGTATTAGGTACATGGTGACACCTCATACATTTGGATCCGGTGTTATTTGACAAATCACATTGATTTGACCTTATACAGGGAAATGGCGGCTTAAGGTTCCCTATAGATAAGACATGTGCATACTGTGTTGTTAGACTATTAGGTTATCAAGTAAAACATCTGTTCTTAAAATGTCTAGGTCAAACAAAAGTGTGGTATACTTATTGAAAAAGACTTACAAAATGTCGACACCCACATTCTGATATCAAATGCAAATTTAATAAATTTCAATTTTATCAATCTTGACATTAAAACGTTATACCGTCACACAAGGTAGAGAATATCACTAAATATTGACACTTAAGATTTGTTTTAAAAATTGCTCTGTCTACAAATGCTGACAAAAATGTTTATTACGTTACAATAAAAATTTTAATACATGCCATGCAAATTTGACGGTGTGAGGCTTAACAACACCTGATGAAACTGACGAGTAATTTAATCAACGTTTATTAGAAAACTCGAAAAAAATAATATGATGAGAAGCTATCAAAAAAGCTTGAAACCCGTGAAAGTACTGGCTGCGGAGTAAATGGTAGTGTTTTCTTGGTGATAATCTACCTTCACAAACACCTCATCTCCAACATCCAGATTAACTAAAGCAGTGCCTGAGTACGATCCGTAGTGATATGCGTTTCCAGCTACTATGATTCCTATTACTTGTCCGTTGCGGACTAAATGAGTGTCCGTCCAGTGGTCGAACGCTAAAGTTACCGTCCACATGAAGACATACGTCCCAGAGGACCCACATGAGAATGTTCCTGTGTTGCTACTGTACATTCTCCCAGTATTGGTTAAAACTTGCCCAAAAACTATCTGGTAGCCTTTACCCGGATTTACCAAATCAATGTCCAGAACTGCGTGAAATGCGGCATTTTCCGGAACAGAAACTGAAACATTGATTACAGTTTTAAACTAAGTTTATCAATAGAACTTGAAATAATATGATTGTACAAAAGACAAACCTATGAGTAGCATCTTTTAAAAATTTAGAGTTAGATACCGTAAAACACAACAATGACTTAAACTGGGGTAGGGGTGGGGAGTTGTGCAGCAACCCCGTAATTAAACAAAATGATAAAAACAATATTTACATATCTAAAGCTGACATAGTATGAAATATACTTAAATATTTATTACAGTTTTAAACTGACTTTATCAATAGAACCTGAAATAGTATAAAATACATTAGAATATTAATTACGGTTTTAAACTAACTTCACCATTATGCATTAACAAATCATGTTGGTATTGATTTAAGTGTACAGGAGTATCAGAGAAAACAAATGATGAGTAACACATATTTCGTCCACAATAGGAAAAACATTAATAAACAATAATAAATAGCAGGCCAACGATAAACCTCCGGAATATTTCATGTCAACTAATTGTGCTGACCTAGATAAACATTGGTTCTGACACTGAATTTAATTGCTTAACTAATGAAATACTGACATTGGTTGCAAAATGATACTAACCAGCACGACGATAAGGTATTTTTTTAAAAGTCTGCACGTTTCGTCGTCGTTCTCGTGTTATTCTTCTGAACATCGAGGTCCGATTTCCGTTGTTACTTTTCTTTAAAAGAAAGAAATCCTTCGAATTGTTCGTGTTTGTATCTGAATTCGGCGGATATTGTGGTGGTTTTGACAACATACTGTCTAGATTTAAACCTACGGTACTTAAATATTCTTTAATCCCATCCATGTTTTCTTTCAGACGAACATTTTCGGTTTTGATATCTTCCATGTTTTCTTTAAGATACATATTTTGGGTTTTCATTTCTTCAATTTGTATTTGCATTTCTTTCATTTGTTTGAGGTCCTCCTCGTGAGAGCGTTCTAGTTGTAGAACACGGGCATTGACATTAGACAACAGCGTCGTGACTTGGTCCAAGAAAGATTCCGACAAGCCTTTGGACGTTCCAGATACGAAAAGATGATTGTCGTGTCCAAACGCAGGTTGTATTCCAACGAAAACTATACACAACAACAAAACTTTGTTTTATTCGCCGCTTGACCCCGAAAAATGATAGTCGACAGAGAAAAGTTTATCTCTGATAACAGGTTTTAAGATTGGCAAAGTGAAAGACTGGTTTAAACGGGATAGTTAACATTGTACGATGATTCAACATGGATTAAAATCGTTAATTCAACGCGATATTTCAGGTTTATACGAATATTGGTGGTTTATTTTCTGGAAAACAAAAATGATCATAAAAAATAATCTGTATGTTTTGTCAATGTAGCATATATTTTTCTTTTGCATAGCTGGTGAAATAAATTTACCGTAATATTCAAGCGACGTGAGCTTCGAAACCAGTAATTTTCTCAATACCATGTTGCATGGTTTAGATCATCATTATCATACAAACTTCATGAACATGTCCGTTATAATGAAAATGAAAGAGATGTTGAAATATAAAAAACGTGGGTTACGGTGTCCTTTAGGAGGTGCTCGGTTCTGCGTTACGGCCTTAAAAATGCTTTAACATACGTCTACATTGTGAGCAGTTACCTTTTTTCTTTAAATGAAAAGCATTGAGAAATTCAAATGTTGAAAACCACCACTTATAACCAGCTTGGTATGTGAAGTCAAGTGCAAAACCAGCTGTCAATGCTCAAATAGTAATTTGATATCACAAAACAATAAATCTTACTGGAAATCAGCTGCAGAATATGTTCTATTACGAAAGCTGTATTTTCGCGCCAAACGATGATCAGAAATCTGTCGCAGCATACGCATTCATTTTGACAGGAAAACTGTTTAAATGATTAAAGAGTTTTGCCTTAACAATGATTTTCAGGTCTAAATTGGTGAGCGAGGCTTCTGATGTAAATAACAAATTTGTTTACTTTCCGAGACCAATTTTGACAATTTTTGCCCTCCTGATTTTTAAAATCTTCATAAATATTAAATGTTCCCTTAAATTAGTTCCATTGAGTTTAAAGTTCGGAAGCTGAAATATTCAGACTCACTGAACCAGCTTGTGTTTTTCCTCAATATCTGAATATTTGATCCTCTGAACACTCTCGTCAAATGGACCTACCCATGTTTTACCTTTTATCAAACAACTCGTGCGTAGATTGGGTGACGATGACTTACAATGTGGTAGGTAAGAGACAGCCACCATTAATAAAAGGTGAGTAGTGGCTAGACAGCTCTGAAAACTGGCCGTTATTTGGCAAATGAACATACAAATGACTATTTCATTAAAAACAATGAAACATGAATCACCAACTTACATATTTTAATGCTCTATATTTCACTAAAACTCATACTGTGGGCAGCAAAAACATTTCCCTGGCTGGCTAAAATCAACCCACCATCACCGTACCCCATCCTTCAATGTCATTGTCGAATATTTGAAAAAACCAACAATATCCATCATAGAGACCATAGTTTCCACTAAAACACAACATAGGTGTCACAGTTCAATGTGTAGAGATTCCCAAAAGAGAGCAGTGGATTGTAGTTCCACTGTAGAAAAGCTACCTGGTCAAATCCATTATGGAGACACCTAGCTTACATCAGTCCTTTGTAGAATCTTCGATACATGGTTTTCTAGTCAACAGTGAAATGACCCAGATAACCGTTGTGATTTATTGATAACGACTTGTCATCGTAAAATTGTCTCCATCATATCGTTCATATTATCATTTTTATGAAACAAACATCCTTCAAACCACAAGAGAAAATATTAAAAGTATTACGTTAACTATATTCATTTCGCGATATAGATTCAATCACGCGTTAGAATTTAACGATACGTAGTCCGCAGGGTTTTGCCATGTAAATATCCATGAATACAGCGTTTTGTAAATATTGCTTTGTTATCAATCTCCATCAAATGGATAAATGCACACCTTCCAAACGAAGCGTTAGGTCATGCGTAAACGACTCTGTAGTAGCATTGGGAATTCACACCATTAACCGCTTGCTGAATAAAATTCGGGAAACAGATAATTTCCTTTCCGTAAAGTTTTAGGAAATGGGCCAAATCTTAATTTTTATGTAATCAATATTTCTGTACTGCAAGAATGAAAAGCAGTTTCTGTAAGTTTGTTTTGGCGTCATTGAAATGTAGTAAAAACTATATGAAGATCTATCGAGTCAATTTCAAACGTCGTATCTGTAAATCTGTAAACCAACTCTACACTCCCTGTATTAACACACTTGCATCATCAATCTCTCTTTCTAACCTATCTAACTAACAGAATTAGAATTCAGTGACATATTTGTATAACGATACACCACAACAAATCAACTGTCAGCTCTTTATAAAATTATCACAATGACAAAACGTTGGATGCGTGGGTTATACCATCATCTGATTGGACATCAGGTTCTGATCAATAAGTTAACCGAGTGTCAACATCAAACAGTTCATTTCATGAGAGACCTTGTGAGGGACGCAGTACGTATCAAACTGTGTGTTGTTGTATCGGAATATCAGTTAAAAATGATTTTGCTTCTAATGGCTGTTTCTATATTTTTTTCAATACCTGAAGTGGAATGTTGGTTGAGACAAGACGTACAGATATTACATAATCAGCTGTTTCAAGATTATAACAAAATTCTTGGTCCGAGATCCAATCAAACTGAGAAAATCGTTATTGATATAACTTTTAATTTATATACAATCAATGAATTTGACGATAAAACTGGAAAATTCTCAATCTTAGGAGCTTTCAATTTAAAATGGAATGATGATAGAATGTCCTGGGACCCTTCGCAACATGGAAATGTCACCAGTGTAAAAGTGTATCCTCTAAAAGTATGGACTCCGTCTCTGTTCATCGGAAAACCCTATGATGATGCTGAAACTTTAAGTAATGACTTAGTTAAGGTGATATATGATAGCAAAGGTGACGCTTCTTGGGCTGTATCGGACTTGTTCCGTGTGTCTTGCTCGGCAGATATAGCTTATTATCCGTTTGACAAACAACTTTGTGGAGTATATGTTATACCTTCAAGCCTTGAGACGAATAATTACGAATTTATTCTGCCAAACAGAAGTTCACTTACACCGAACTATTTTGAAAATGGAATATGGAATGTTCTGTCGACTGAAATTCGTGTGATCAACGATCCCTTGGTTGATTATGTTGCCATGAATGTAAAATTTCAAAGGCGTCCTCTTTTTGCATTTTTAATTTTACTTCTGCCGATTAGTATAATTGCAATTTTAAATCCACTGATTTTCCTCTTGCCTCCAGATCCGGGCGAGAGAAGTTGTTATGGTGTGACTCTTATGCTGTCTATGGCAGTGTTCCTGTCGAGTATGTCCGATAAACTACCTAGTGCGTCCGAGCCTCATTTAGCCCGTGTCTGTTTGTATATTCTTGTCGATTTGATATTAAGTGGCAATATTATGCTATTTACTATTTTGGGACTTAAATTGCACAAACAAGAAGACACCCCGATCCCAGAATGGATTAAACGATTCGTAAGGATGTGTTCGAAACGGCAAACGGTTACTAACATACGTTCCCTGAACTCTGAAAATCAGCATCGGTTAAAAACACCAAAATGGAGACAGGTAAAAGTAAGAGCAATAAACGAGCATTTGGTAGACGATAAAGATGGAGAACAAACAGTGGATTATGAAACACAAAATAATGACATGAACGTCCGAAAAAGCATTGATGATTCTACCGTCATTGAAGAACGTAAACAATGTTCCTGGGATGAAGTGGCAAAATTGTTCGACAAATTTTGTCTGTGCGTGTTTATTTCTCTTCAGTTAATTCGTTTGACTGTTAATGTGATCGATTTTGCGGTATATATATATTCTGACATGTAAACATACTTGTCTGAAGTGAACACTGCATTATCTGTGTGCATTGATAAAACAGTATCAGAGACAGCATCAAAGGAATTTGTTGTATTGACAGACATGTTGTTCAACAACATAAAAGCAAGTTCTGATTCTTGCATCCACATAATGTATAGTTATCAATAGGTTTCTTCGGTGTGAACAAAATCTGTACAGCTGGATGAAAATATTGTTACTTTCATTTTAAACACACCTAACTAAATGGCAGGTACATTTCACATCATTATGACTCGCTTTGACCTTAAAGCAACTGCTAATACATGTAGGTAGGTAAAGTACATATACGTGATTGACATAATTTCCGTCTTAATTGTGAAGTTGAGAGTATTGATGAAACAGGTATTCAACTATTCATTCGTAAAATGAGTAGCTACAAGCTTATTTATACTTTTTGTGTTACTCTAAAATTTCATTATTGGATGGATGCTACAAGGCCTATGTACGTGTAACAGTACCACAGTAGAAAATATAGTATTCATAAATTAGAAGTCTTGATCACTGATTGGATATAAAAAGATCAATAAATTTGTTTAATGTCTCCTTGTCGCTAGCATTCGGTTCATATGAAAGCCAACAGTGAGAGAAGCAACTCATGTATTGCTGTGTAATGTTATATATTGGCTAGTCGGTTAAAACGATGCTTTTACAACTTTTTGCTGTTTCTACAATTCTTTTGATACCTCAAGTGGAATGTTTGTTGAGACAAGATGCACAAATTCTACTGGATCAGTTATTTCAAGATTACAACAAAGACCTTGGTCCGAAAAACAATCAAACTGAGAAAATCTCTATACAAATAATATTCGATTTTTATACAGTTAGTGAATTTGACGATAAAACTGGAAAATTCTCAATCTTAGGAACATTCAATTTAAAATGGAATGATGACAGAATGTCCTGGGACCCTTCGCAACATGGAAACATCACCAGTGTAAATGTATATCCGCCGAAGGCATGGATTCCATCTTTGTTCATTGGAAAACCCTATAATGATTTCAAACCCTTAAGAAATGACCTCATTAAGGTGAGATATGATAACAATGGTGACGCTACTTGGGCTGTATCGGACTTGTTTCATGTTTCTTGCTCGGCAGATATAGCTTACTATCCGTTTGACAAACAACTTTGTGGAATATATGTTACCCCCTTACGTTTCGAGACGGATAATTATGAATATATTCTGCCAAACAGGCATGCAATAACACCAAATTATTTTGCAAATGGAATATGGGATGTTCTGTCAACCGAAATTCGTGTGATAAACAACCCCTTTGGTGATTACATTGAAATGAATATACGATTTCAAAGGCGACCTTTATTTGTACTTTTAATTTATCTCCTACCAGTTAATATTATTGGAATCTTGAACCCACTCATTTTCTTGCTGTCTCCAGATCCGGGCGAGAGAAGTTGTTATGGTGTGACTCTTATGCTGTCAATGGCAGTGTTCCTGTCGACTGTGTCCAATAAGCTACCCAGTACGTCCGAGCCTCATTTAGCTCGTGTCTGTTTATATATTCTTGTCGATTTGATATTAAGTGGAAATATTATGATATTTACAATTTTGGGACTTAAATTGCACAAACAAGAAGATACCCCAATCCCTGAATGGATTAAGCGATTGGTACGGATGTACTCCAAAGGACAGAAGGATACTAAAACACATTGTTTGAACTCCGAAAACCGTAATCAGCCTAAAACATCGAAATGGAGACAAGTCACAGTTACAGCGAAAAAAGAACATTTGGTAGACGACAAAGTTGAAGGACTAACAGTTGATTTTGAAACAAAAAAGGATGAAAAAAACTTCCGAAACAGCATCGATGACACTAGCACCAGTGATATAAATAAACCTTTTTCCTGGGTTGATGTTGCAAAGATGTTCGATAAATTATGTTTGTTTGTGTTTACTTTTCTTCAGTTATGCCGTTTGACTGTTAATGTGATCGATTTTGTTTTATATGAATAAATCAAATGACGGAGGCAATAAATATGAAAAAGAAAATAATTTGAACCATTTTAAAAGATGTATACATTGACTTGATTTTACTGGGGATAGTGAGTTATAATCTTCATCAAGCAGTTGTCTGTTTCTTGGGTATGATCCTGAAAAGACGCTTAATTCTAAAGCATTTGTAGTATTTCTATGGATATTTTTATTGATCTTTATAGGTGATTTCCAATTCAAAATTAAAACGATCAAGAAATTAGAATTAACGAGAAACGTTTTCCATTAAGAGTAAAACGAATGTATTGTGCAAAAGTGCACACAAGATAATTGAAATGCAGTAGAGATCACCACGTGAATGCAATCTGAGTGACAGATAAATGGAATGGCGTTTTAACGTGATGATTATTAATTTGCCCCATGTTGCATTCAGATTGACAAATAAATACAACATGACAACCGTTCGATAGATTTGTAGACATTTCAAATATATTTGTTATACATTTTATTGGACATAGATGTAAAGTTACAATGGTGGTATCTGAAGCGACGTGCAAAACGTTGATGTAGGCCAATATGGCGTCATAGTATTGTCATTTGATCTATGATATATCTACATACTGTAAATACAATCCATATCAACACGTTCTTAATGATCGTTATGCAAAATGTAATTAATCTTTAACAACTTATCTAACTTAACTCCTGGAAATATATTTTGTTATGACCAATCTATCACGGATCCATCAATGAGGAAAAGATAACGTGTAAACGTCATTTATGTATTCGCAAATGTCTGTTACCCTAAGATAGTTAATTGCTGTACAAAATTTTAGAATTTGAAGATGGTGTCTTAATTGCTTAATGTACATTCCACATTTGATAATCTCATCATGTTGTGTGTGCGAAATAAAGTACATAGAATTACAATTGTCTCCTAGATTTACATATATATGCGTTACAACATGCTCCTTCGGCTGCTTGAAAGTCGTAGGTCATTTTTGAAAATTGCAAGCATATTGCATCTTATATTTTTGCATTAGTTACGGACCTGCAAATATTCAGAATTTTCATGCTGCCAGTCTTGTGTCGGCTTATTCGGATTCAGTAATTAATTTCATTTTATGGATGCAATGTCCATGCAACACACAAGGTCATACGAGGACGGGTATAAGGAGGGACACCAAGAGTGGGGGAAAAACATATAAAGAAAAGAAAAGTCAATAACCCAAGCATTGTAATGAGGCAGCAGATCTATTTTGGTCTCTTCGATGTCTTCCTGGTAAAAGATAAGAGAAAAATGTTATTCTTCAGAGGACTCACTTTAAGCCGCCTCCTACGATCGTACATTGAAATACCACAACAAATGGGTATTAATAACGCAATACATAAATAAATCAAATAACAAACGCCATCTCCAGTCAGTTATTAAATCATCAGATAATTTTCTTCCGCGTACCTTGCAGTGAAAACTGGTTTTCACGGGCCTCTTTACATAACCATTCATTCTGATCTATCACGTGATCTCAAAATGAATCAACATTAACACTATTAGGAATTTTTCACCGACGCAACCTTTTTTGCCGTGCATCGCACAACATGGTTCCTATTTGCCTTTGTGAATTATCAAATAATGTACAACTATGTGTGGTGGCAGTTGTAACTCGCTGCAGATAAGTCATTATTCTTATCATGATCAGCCAGGTTTCCGATAAGGACACACTTATTATTTAAAAAGCACAACTTAACGGATGTAAGTTGAAATGTCAGCTAGTGCAAACTACACACGACCGTTGCAACAACGTATTTTTATGGATATGCTAATGAACCGTGGATTCTGGAGTAGCATTAGCTCCTATGCAAGACCATATGCTTCGGCTCTCAAAAAGTGTAGACTCACAAATTAGTCATATCTTACGTCTAGTAGAGAGATACAGCATGCATCTTCTTTTCTCGCACGTTCAAGGGTTTTCAGATCAAATCCACATATTGATTTTATTATCCTTATCACTTAGGTCACGTAGCATAATACTTCTCAAACTGCAGATATCATTTTCAATGGTTTTGGACTGGCTATCAAAAATAGGCTAAAAAGGATTAATTTTGGAACCGACTTCATGACATCTCTGATAACAGCTAAAACAGAACCTTTCGTGAATAAGTATCTTAAAGTAGATTAAAACACCCACACGGCTATCATAATATTTTACCTGTTGATTTCAGAAATGATCTGTACATTTCCATTTTGTGAACAAGCATCGCGTATAAGTACAATATATATATTACGTTACTGCCTCTGTGAGGAAAGATTGGAGGTCTATCCGCTTGTCAAGAAATTCCAGTCTTCATAAATGGTAGTTATGGCCGTTTTCAATATGAACGGATTGGTAATCCTGTTGGGTACCTTTAGCAGTATACTTCAGTTTGACAGCACTATAAAATCGGCATTATTTCCGTAATATCAAAATGAGGTTGACACGAACATATTAAAGAATCCCACAGAGGCACGTGCTCAAAGTATGCTTTCGAACATAGAGGGGTCATTCTTGAATAACCATATCTGTCAATAAGAAATCTAGACCCAAACCATCATACTATTGATGTACGTAACATTATCTTATCATCATGATGAGAGTAAATCAGATGATCATGGAAACGCACAATAGATGTGATATTACATCACTTTTGGAGTACATACTTATGTAGGAGTCGATTGCAAGTAACAATTAGGTAGCACAATTAAGTCGGCTTCAGTTCCGCACTCATAGACAAAGTCTTACACCAACATATCCCAGCCTCACACAAACACACGCACCCGACACCAACACTCTCCACAGGTAAGCCTCCTAAAATGTACATATCTGTTCAACAATATCAAACCAAACTAAACCCATTCAGCAAACCTTCAATGTTACTCCTACTTTTCCCAAAAAATACACATTGTATCTACGTGTGTCGCCGCTTCGTACAATTCCACAGGATATACTATGACACAACGATACGAATAATGCATTAAAATCTAAGGCGAATAAAGCAAGAAAATAAATAGAAGTAATCTCAAAGCGATTTTAATCCTATACGGAACATTAAAAGTCTGACGAAAAACGTTTACACAAGCACGGCTTTTGAAGTATTGGGGATGGTTAAAATAAGAATGATTCTTCCAAATTATTTCTTTGTAAAGATACTGAATTAAAGGTGGAATGGTGTTGTAATTGTTTTACCAAATTTGACTTGATACCATGTGTTTTACTTAAGAAGATATATATCACCAGAATCACGATTGGTATCTCTCTTTACTCTTTTAATAATGTATCTACAATAATGCCCTTAGCATCGGTGACGAGTTCTAGAAGGACGAAACAACTGTATGATAAAGCATCAATGACGAAGCCTAGAAGGACGAAACAGCTGTATGATGAAGCATCAATGACGAGGCCTAGAAGGACGAAACAGTTTTATGATATAGCATCACTGACGAGGCCTAGAAGGACGAAACAGCTGCATGATGTAGCATCACTGACGAGGCCTAGAAGGACGAAATCGTTTTATGATGTAGTATCACTGACGAGGCCTAGAAGGACGAAACACCCGTATGATGTAGTATCGCTAACAAGCCCTAGAAGGACGAAACAATTTTATGGTGCAGTTTTATCAATTGGCTTTACTATATCTCATTCTAAATTTGTATCAAAAGGTGTTATTCACTTGTATGACTTTTGCACAATTTCCATGATGGTCTTTATTTCTTCAAAGTAATAAGTATTTGTTCAGGTATGGTAAATGAAATTAAGTTTGCATCGACAGTCACAAATGATTACACTCTGATTTAAAACAATTGAAATACATTCAACAATATGGAAGGGTCTGGATGAAACCTCAAAGGAGTTGTTTATATGAGGAGTGAGGGGAAAAACACCTACGTTGTCAACTCTGCTAAGAAAACAGGATAAATCATAAATCAGCTTAAATGTGGAAAATCGATCATCGTCAGTAAAGATCGATTATTGTCAGTAAAGATTGTCCGTGAAGATCGATTATTGTCAGCTCCGTAACATTATGTTGTCGACGTTTAAAAACATCTGTCAACCATTTCTCGAAATTAAAATAACCAGAAACTAACAGGTCATGATATGTCCGACCTGATGAATAGTTAATGATGTCAGTTTCTGTTACGTAGTTGAAATAACTGGCAGAGTTGTAAACATATAGCATCATGTTATACAAATAATACATAAAACAACAACATATAGAACTGTATCACTTTGATCTGCATATGTACAGTGCTTCTTCGTCAATTTCCTAAAAACTTGAAAAATATACATTGATCTGTCGAGAGTAATTTTCGTGCGTGTTTCTAATCACATCAAAACACATCAATTTCGGTATTTAATATTGATTCTCTGTTGGGACGGTCACCTCATCAACAAATAGTATTTGTTCAGCGCTACAGTTTATTTTTTACAACATTGTATACGTTTGCGTGACGTCAAAAAAGCCTTATTTGTTGACTGGTGTATGATTAAATCTCCAGGTAAACTGCCTTGCGTCGGTGTGTATTTACAAAGGGATGCCTGCATGTGATCACTTTTCATAATCATATTAATGAAAATTTGACATGAGTGAATCAGTGTGCGTTGTTTTGTGATTGGACAGGATACAATATACTAATACCACTCTGGTACTTAAGTTATCATATCAACAAAAGTACTTTGTTTCGTTTCGCGGGGAAAGGCAGTAAGGGTTGCTTGTAGAAGTTTTATTGTAAGGTGTTTGAAGACTGGTTGGTAACATGGTTTCACGTCATACACTGATTTCCATGGTGATGTGTATAGTAATACCGCACGTGAAGTGTTCCTCCAGACAGGATTTGCAGATGTTACACGACCAGCTGTTTCAAGGTTACAACGAAAATCTCGGTCCTAGGTTTAACCAAGATGAGCCAATCAGTATTCACATAGCTTTTAATTTATATTCAATCAATGACTTTGATGATAAATCCGAAAAACTATCAATAACTGGATATTTTCTTTTGACGTGGACGGACGACCGGATGTCATGGGATCCGTTGCAGCATGGAAATATCACAAGTGTGCTCATGAAAGCTTCAAGAGTGTGGGTTCCTCCACTATTCATCGGTAAACCTTACAATAAAGTTGCAAAAATAGGAAATGATTTTATTCAGATAAATTATAATAACAGCGGAACTGCTTCATGGATTGTACCAGATTTGTATGCTATTTCCTGTCCAGCGAATACAGCATACTACCCAATTGATAAACAGTTTTGTGAAATAATTGTTGCAGCATGGGGATACAAGAAAGGTGATATTGCTTTCGTTCTGCCATCTCATACTGTTACAACATATGACTTTAGTGAAAACGGAATGTGGAATGTTCTATCAACCCAAATCCGGACAGCAGAGAATCCCTTGGGTGATTATGTTGTCATGACAATCGAATTTCAAAGGCGCCCTCTCTTTGTAATCTTAGTTTTTCTACTACCAATTAGTTTCATTGGGATTCTGAATCCACTTGTGTTTTTGCTGTCTCCAGATCCGGGCGAGAGAAGCGGTTATGGTGTGACTCTTATGCTGTCTATGGCAGTGTTCCTAACAGCTGTGTCCGATAAACTACCCAGTACGTCTGAACCTCATTTAGCTCGTGTTTGTATTTACCTTCTCATGGATTTGATGTTGAGTCTAATGATAATGATATTCACGATTTTTGGACTTAAATTGCACAACCACCAAGATACACCGATTCCATGTTGGATCAAAAAATTTGTTCTGACAAGTTTGAAACATCAACGGGACTCTTACCAACATTCTCTGACAGAGGAAAACCGTAATCAGCCGAAAACACCAAAATGGAGAAAAAACATAGTTCAAGCAATAAACGAAGAGACATTAGTAAACGAAAAAGATGGAAGACATAAAGGACGCACAACTGTTCAAGAAACAACCAGGGATGAAAATCGCCATAACGACATTACTGAGAATTATGATAATTGTAAACAGTGTTCGTGGAGTGATGTAGGGAAAGTTTTTGATAAATACTGTCTGGTTTTATTCATTTGTCTTCAAACATGTCGTTTTGCTGTAACCACTATCGACACCATGATCTACCTGTATACCAGTTCTGATCTGTGAACCGCTAACTGTGTAACGTTCGATTTGATCCTTATCCACAAAGGGACCAACAGCTACCATTAAAAAATTTTCTACGTGGAAGGATCTTCTATATCTACTATCGTTTAACAAATATATAGGAATACATTCTTATTTAAAACTTGTGACGTGCTATACCTTATTGTTTTAGAGACTGTAGTTTTACACTCAATGAAAATTGTTTTTATGCACTGTCAAGATAACAGATATACTATTTATACATGTATACTTTTATTCAATATGTAAAGAACAACTGTTTTCGAATTATTCACGTAATTGTATTTTGTTCCCAATATCAGGATTTGCGCGCAAAATGTCGAAAATTGACAGATAAACTTACAACACAGGGCTTTGAGAGATGCATATTAATGAAAATAAAGGGAAAGCTTTGCAGTCGTCAAAACAATTTCATTCCATTTCCTTAATCGATGTGAAGTTAAGCGTAACCGATGCGTGTTAGTACACGTACTTGTGTGTCTGTTGATTCCGTTGTTGTATACCTTGTTCTCATTTGAGAACGAGACATTACTTACATGGAAGGTCTAAAATTTACATATTAGGTGAAATCAGTTAATCAGAAGACGCATTCTCTTTCGGAACACCATGTGCTGTTTTCCTTGAACTTTTAATGCTCTCCGTGTTTGCCGTTTTTTATCAATCGTTTTAGTCTATATTCATCGAATTTGTGTTTGAATTTACATTGTATAGACATTTTGGTGTTTTCTGTAGTTTTCCAAGTCTACATATTGTCCGAATAGTCATCAATATTAACATTTAAGTGTGAAAAACAACATAACGACATTGGCAAGAACTTTGAATCAAAGTCGCAACAAATAGTATACAAAATACATTTGTGTACATGGTACGCATTGCTATGTCATCGAAGTGTTTACTTTCATTTAGTGTCTTCTAATCTTCATTACGATCGATTGTCCTTTTTATCTCACTTAAGCTGTCATTGATATTTGATATTGGTTGTGTTGTATGAATGACAAAACTTTGTACCTTATTGCCTTCAGTTAGGACTTACGAATTGTGCCTGTTGTACAGATTGTATGATTATGAAAAGATGACTTAATTTGGGATCTGAACTATTCTTATTTCCAAACAACAACTTTCCCTCATGTCTGCCTTGATATGTCTCATTTTATCTTTAGCTGGGCGTTCGCCCCTGTGAAGAAAGTTTTTTGGTTCTGTCTCCTGGCCAAGACATACATGTGGGTGTAATTTGTTTGGTGCATTCTAATCAATCCTCAATACTCCAGATGTTTCGATCACTTTCGCTCTCTGCACCCCTGGAACATGTCACGGCAAAACTGAATGCTCTATGTGCGACACCTTTTGGATAAGACGAAAAGACTAGTTTGAGAACTTTGATGTATATTAGACGAATCTCGAGGTCATAACGGTATGGACTACTAGCTTTGAAGACGGGTGTCGTTCCTTTGTAAAGGAGCTATCAGTGTGTGATTGGGCACTTTTTTCTCCTGAAACCAGTTCTAGACCAATCAAATTTGTTCGCTTGTGCCTTCCGTTTTGCAACGAAATGCTCCAAGGATGCAGGGAGTGAAAATAATCGTAACCCCCCGGAGTATCGAAGATGGTTCTAACACACTTCAAATTTATTGAGTTTTTTTAATTATGAATAGTATATAGCATGAGAGCGCCGATATTCAATTCATCCCAAACTCCTGTGAGGCCATCTACATTTTAATGTAGGTCCTGACAGCCGTAATACAGCATACTAAACTCGCTCCTACGTTATCGAAAACAAAAATGTTTGAAGAGAGATAATTCGTACATGTATATATGTTTTCTCCAACGACCTCTTTGTCAGAATCCTTTGCCAAACAGCAATAGAATATTTCAGGTTTAGGTCGTCTTGCATTCTGATAGAAAATTCGCTGCATTTTCGAAAGAATTGACGAAAGTAAATATACCATTTAGTGATGGGATCTTACGTGACACTAATGTTAGATTGTTGTTCATGTACATTTACCATGGACAATTTAGTAAACGTACGAATCTGAAATCGGAAAAGATATCCCTCTTAGTGAAATTTTAAATATATGATAAGAAAACGTGTACCTTAATTCTGCTATGGCCAGTTTTCGTCTTTAGAAAGCCGTTGATAAATTTGATAAACACATATAGGAACATCCGGCATATGCATGACGAAGTGCAACGTTTGTTCAAATTTCTAAATCAATCAATTCAACAAATAGTTTAACCGTTCACTTGTGTCGATAATTAAGATGTGGTCAGGATGCTACCATTTATGGAGAATATGTATCACTGCCTCGAAAGAAGTTAGAAGGTCACGATCAATGTGTGAATCTCCGTCTTTATTCGGCTCCAATTGGCAACAATGGTTATTTACACAAACCAATATTTGTACAACCATCTAAGAAGGCATTCCCGCGTTGTTGTTTTTTTGTTTTTATTTCATTTTTTTTTTTTCTTTTCTTTTTTGCAATTGTCAGGAAAAACGCTGATTTCGCCAATACTTTAAGATGGTTTGTTCATAAAGAATATTGAACGATACAATTCTAAATTGATTTTTATACAATGCATGGTAAACATATCAAAACATCATTAATATTTTTCTTTTAATGTCTTTATATATTTAAATATTTATTTAGAACACGTGTGAATAAATGATATTGTCTTATAATCATTTGTGTGGAATCGTTTGTGTCAGATTGTTGAACTGCTCCGTAAAGGGGGCTGTGATAGCTACGTCTGTAGTGTGTTGTACATTTGTATGTTCAAGTAAAGATACATAGTTCGACGGTTCCTACTACCCGTTGCGGTTTGTGTTTTCATGAATCTCCGAAATGGATCGGTCTGTGCTGATTTGACTGATTATACTGGATGGAAGTAGACGGGCCTCAGGTATGTTGTTCATTGAGGTAGACACCTGCAACTTACTCCCTCAAAATAGTCCCGACTATTTACTGGACGATAAACCCAGTAAACAAGGAAATATTGCTGTGTCATCACCAGAAAAGGTTATTCTTGGATCGAGCAGAAAAGGCATACAAAGGTACATGTATATTATTTATCGCCACGGTGAAAAAAACTTAACAGGACAAATTTTTCATCACAGAAAATGTATGTGTAGTATTTTTTTTTCCAAAACCCTGAATAATGTATCAAATATAATCATCATCATCATCATCATCGTCGTCGTCGTCGTCGTCGACTTCCTTAAGACCCATATCACACAGCCACTGTGTCATTCCTAAACAATTACATATGTGTGAATTTAAGCTAAAATGAAACATATATGTGGCAGAGACGATATTTCGTTATTTCATGTTTTTATTATACCAATACATATATAGCGTCCGTCTATTAATTTAAATATGCGTTTCCCTTTATTTTGGCCTTGGTGTATGTTTAAGGTATTTCTATTTCTTGATTGGCCAGTTTCTGATAATCCCGTCAGTACCTCTTTCCTTAGCCAATGGTCAGTGTTTTCTTTGTCGTTTTTGTATTTTGGTCATTTTTGGCGCGCTATTCGGCACTCTGTCCATAGGCACTTGACTGACAGGATGGAATTTTGACAGGTAAGACATTTACTAATTTTCACTAAATTAATTGTGCAATTACTAATTCATTTGCTTCCTTTGAAAGTATATTTGATTTGTGTAATCGTGGTCGGATTTATATATATGTACCGGTAACGCTATATGGTTTTTTTTAATTTACTGTATTGTGTTTGTTTTTTATGCAGATTACTGTTACTTATTAGTACTATATCGTCGGCTGTACAGTGATCCCACCGCCCTATTCCACAAATGGGTACGCCCTTAAAAGCCCGATGTATATTCAATTTATTGCGTTTTTAACGATCTGTTCTGTATGTACATGGATGATAAGATTTGCAATATTCATTATATATAATTATGCTCAATATAGCATGTAACTATTATATTTGAAACTGTAAATCTAGTTAAAGTATTTGTAATTTTAATAGTTCTATACCTACATGTATAAGCGAACGGCTTGTTATCAAAATATTTATATTGTGCTGTATATGTGCGATATCTACGAAGTAATTTATGGTAAAGCCATCGCTAATGATTGTTTTATATTGTTACAGGGTGATAAATGTAGTTTTATCAATCGGAGAACCCTTTACAAGTGTGTTTGTTGGTGTTTAAACTGGCAAAGATCTACACTGCTACATATACACGGACATTCCTGATAACTCAACAGTCTGATAATTGATTAAATTATCAAGGTCTGATTTACGTAAAAAAAATCAAGTAATTATATGAAAAGATATTCGTATGATCGGTCGTTTATACTTTACACTATTCGGACTGTTGGCCAACGTCTAAGGAGGGCGTGTGTACCTGCACTACAAACAAACTTTGGTTGTCGTATTTAAGCAACATTCGAGGAACAATAATCAAACTGAAATATTGAATGTGTAACTCTGCGAAAAAATGTGGAACAATGTCAAGTATTTATTTGGTTCTTATACGTCTACGTTTAACGTACGTGATACCATCTTACTTTCATTTTCTTTTTGGCCGGAAGAGGTAGTCAAGCAAGGGGTATAACTCTTCTGAAAAAGATTAACGATGGCTGACGGCGATGAGACACAGACTCCAACAGGTAAATTTAAGTTGGAAAAGTGACACACAAGATGAACATATTTTAATTTGAAAGCTTTCCTTGGGTTTAAAAATAAAGTAACATTCAAAATACTGTGTTATTTGAGATTTTTGAGCACCGACTGAAGGACATTAAGGATATTATATGGAAACGCCCATATAGACAAGTAATGACTAATGCGTATTATTAGCCGAACGAAATACTATTTTGTTATTTAAGGTTCTTGTATTTGATAACCAGTCCAACGATTACGATCTACACTCATACACCATATACTATACTATTAATACTGTAATACTCTAATTAAAGAAACTACAATCGCTAAAATTTTACATAACAGATATCACTTGAGATTTTTGGAATTTTGTCTTACAGTAAATTTATCCGTCTACAAAATCATTAAGCATTGATGTTAAAGGTTTATTGCTTTCATTTAACATATAAATGTTTTACAGTACATGTTTGTAGTGTCAGCAAGGTCAACAAGGTGCGATTAGTTTTGGTTCATACAAAAGCATTGCTCTCGGTACTGTATCAGGGTCTTACTTGAAATGCATTGAAAATGATTACCTGTGTTACAGTGTTATGTAAATATAATAGATATGTGATCAATGAAGTAAGACCGACAGTGCAGAGAAGTGAATTGTGTTGATTACTTATACGCTCTGTAACTACACAACATACCGAGGTTTCTATAAAACATTTTTGTTATTTTATTCACCATCTTTCATTACAATATAACTTCAGATGTTTTTTCCAGTAAAACGGGCTTTTGGCATCCATTGTACAAAGGATTATCACAACTCCTAAATATACATTACCGTTCTCAATTTTAGTTTATAATTTTGCATTTGTTTTATGTGTATGTGGTGTAATTTAAATAACATTTGTGTCTTACTTTGAAAATTTGACAATTCACTTGTCCATACTGTCCCTATTACTTCATTGGTCATATATCTATTCCAGTAATATGAATCCAACAAACATTTGTTTGTCAGGATCCAGTACCAATTTTTGATCATACCATTGATATTACTTGTTAGATTGTGTGTATCCCTTGTACTGCAGTTGTAGCTAAAGACAAGGAGCTGTCTACGGCAGAGGTTCAGGTTCTGATCCCAGGACTAAAAGTTCAGAAATCAATGTTGTTTCTTGGGAGTAAGAAACCTAAAGAAGATGTATGCACTATCGACGTTAAACTGGAGGAAAGGTCAGTACAATAAATTAGAGTGTTTGTGGATAAACTGGCTGCACATTAGCTCTAATTTTACATTTGTATATACCAGAGTCTCTCAACCTGTATATCACGGGCTTTAGAAGAGTTTACATATCAAATGATATATAAATAACTCATTAAGTTGTTAGCTTAGCTCACTTGATTGACCAACAGTGCATACACAATTAGTAGACTTAAAGATGTATTAAAAAGTTGAGGGAGATTTCTGAAAACATTCAATTTTCGATAGATAAAAATGTATATCATAACATATATATATAATGGTATTGTATAACTGTAACCCAGTGATATTGGTATATATGGTTCTAGCTTCTACAACTTTCCCTTTCTTTATCTAAATATGAATCATTGAATGTACAGTTGTTTGAAAACAATTAATTCTTGATCTTTTAAAATAAGCTCACCTTGATTGAATGGTTGTAAGGACATCAATTGTTGAAAGTTTGATAACTGTTTCAGCTCCCTTGAGTTGACAGCAGATATCAAAGATAAAAAGGGAAAGGTGACCAAGTACAAATACAAGGCTAATAAGTTACCAAGCCTTGTAGACACAGATGCATCAAGTGTCTCAGTAAGTAATTCAAGTATTTTTGTAATATCTAGTGTCGCAGTAAGAAACTAAGTTTTTCTGTCGTGTCTAGTGTCTCAATAATTTAAGTGTTTCTATGGCAGCTTGTGTCTCATTAAGTAATTTTAGTGTTTCTATGGCAGCTTGTGTCTCAATAAGTAAGTTAAGTGTTTCTATGGCAGCTTGTGTTTCAGTAAGTAAGTTAAATGTTTCTATGGCAGCTTGTGTCTCAGTAAGGTATTTAAGTGTTTCTATGGCAGCTTGTGTCTCAGTAAGGTATTTAAGTGTTTTTATGGCAGCTTGTGTCTCAGTAAGTAATTTAAGTGTTTTTATGGCTGCTTGTGTCTCAGTAAGGTATTTAAGTATTTTTATGGCAGCTTGTGTCTCAGTAAGTAATTTAAGTGTTTCTATGGCACTTTTCTCAATAAGTAACATATACATTCCTTTAAAAAATGTTTTTAAGTGCAGGAAGGTGTAATCAGTTTGATTATCAAGACATATCAAAACCCATTGAAGTGTACTCAAGTTTGTTATAATGGATTTTGTTAGAACTGTATGATCCAAAGTGTACCATTGAATATATGTGAACAATTCATCAATCTCCATTAATGATTGTTTTTGTTTCAGTATGATAAAGAAAAAGTGATAATTACTCTGAAGAAAAAAGAAGAATACTCATGGGATGTTGCACTGTCTAAGTCAGGATTGGACCAGGACCCGGACAGTTAGATATATAGAGTAACCTCCCTTTGTTATGGAAATTCCACCACACACCAACCTATTTTTAGATAGATAATGGTATTGATATGAAACAAAATTCAATATGTAGAGGTTACAAAACTAGTGGTTGTAGTAACTCAGGTATATGGTATTTCTTTCAATTCAGTGATTTATTTTTCAGATCTTACAAAAAACATGAACTCTTTCAAGTGTTTTTTTTTTTGTAATTTTAAAAAATAAAAAGGAGAGTGAAAGAAATACTATATATACAAGTTTGTGTGACCTGTTTCTACCAGGATGATAAAAGCTATTCCTAAGTTGAACTGACCTGTTCTAAACTCACTTTTGTTTTGTTTGTCATCACCTTTAGTGAAATACCGCTAATTAATATGACCTTTAGTGAAATACCGCTAATTAATATGACCTTTAGTGAAATACCGCTAATTAATATGACCTTTAGTGAAATACCACTAATTAATATGACCTTTAGTGAAATACTGCTAATTAATATGACCTTTAGTGAAATATCACTAATTAATATGACCTTTAGTGAAATACTGCTAATTAATATGCCCTTTAGTGAAATACTGCTAATTAACATGAACTTTAGTGAAATACTGCTAATTAATATTTATTAATTTGTTATCTACAAAGTAAAACAGGATAGCAATTTAGATAAAAATCAAATTATTAAAAAAACAAGCCTGGACTACTGATTATAGTGTTCTTATATCCATGAGTGCATGAAGCACCCTTTAGGTCAAAGTTCACCCTGTCAGACAATCTAAACGTACCAAAGTGTTATACCACATGAAGTATAACAGGTATGTTTATTCAACACTTGGAATGATTATTTTCACCTATTGTGGTAGAAACCTGTTTATTTTTTTACCTATATCTGATGAGTGTTATACATTGTTGTACATGTTATACCAGATCTTAACTTTTGAATTCTGACACCTATGTTGTTTTTTTTATATATTATCTAACCTCTATATATAATCTGAAATTTTGGTTTTTGTTCTTTTTTCCTTGGGAGGAACAGGGGGTGGGGGGTTTGTTATTTTGTTTTTGTATTTTGATGTAATATCTCTGACAACACATGAACACATGCCACCAGACTGTTTCACGACTTTAGTTCATAAACAAATGCTTCCATTGCTAACATGATGAACATTTCAGCAGTTAAAATGAAATGATGCTGGACAATAATTTGACATTTAAAAACAGTATTTGGTAGAGTCCTTAAATATTTGTATAGTTTCTGAATAGCAGAGATATTTATGGATAAAACAGAGTTTCAGCTTCAAACAATTGTTCCATTATTAGTTTTAGAAAACTTACTGTCCAGTGAAATTTTTTCCTTATTTTGTATGTCATATGGAGTTGCACTTTGCTTCATTAACAAATGAATTTTCTTTTACTCTATTGAGTCTACCACGGTGCCTTCTACGTTAATGTGATGATATTTTATTATTTATGATAGTGCTCTTTTATCAGTCACTGTAAAATCATAAATTTTCGTGGTGTGCTTAATTTTGTGGGTTTCGAAAAATTGACATTTTCATTGAAACATTTTGCGGATAAATCTTTCCGATGAAATCCACCAGCACTACAATCTTTGTCAACTTTTATTTGTTAATTATTTCGTGGACAAATAAATTTATAGACTTAGAGTACCCACAAAAATGAATGATTCTACAGTATCTAAAGTTCTGTTGTCAGCAAGTGTAAAATGTCCCTTTGAGTAAATGTTGTAATTTTCTTTGCTATATATAACTGCTTGGTCCAATATAGATTCAGTGACTTGAAGGATACCTAAAAGCAAAAACTTGTAAAACAAATTTAAGAATTACTATTAAGATAGGAGCAGCTGAACGTTAATGTTTTAAAAGTATAATGTATAAGGATGTGTAAAGTAACTTTCTGTTCTTCGTTCTCGCAGGACTTTTGTCTATTTTAGGTATAATTTGATGTGATAAGTAGATCTTCAAATTATGCCAAATTTTGCCATACTGTTTTGGTACATTTCCCTGAGAAGCAGATAAGTAATGTGAATGGACTTCATAAAGAGAGTTATGTAGGATAAATTAATTGACATAATTTCACTCGCTTCTTTAAAACTAATGATGGATATAAAAGGATGTGTAATGGCAGTGTTGTTTAGTTTCATATCAGATGCCAGAATCTGTACTTAAAAGATATCAGTGTTATGATGTTAGTTAAAGGTTTAGTTGTGTGTTGTTTAGATCTAGTTGTATGTGTTGTTTAGATCAAGTTGTATGTGTTGTTAAGTACTAGTTGTATGTGTTGTTTAGCACTATTTGTATGTGTTGTTTAGCACTAGTTGTATGTGTTGTTAAGTGCTAGTTGTATGTGTTATGTAGCACTATTTGTATGTGTTGTTTAGCACTAGTTGTATGTGTTGTTAAGTACTAGTTGTATGTGTTGTTTAGCACTAGTTGTATGTGTTGTTTAGCACTAGTTGTATGTGTTGTTTAGCACTAGTTGTATGTGTTGTTAAGTACTAGTTGTATGTGTTATGTAGCACTATTTGTATGTGTTGTTTAGATCTAGTTGTACGTGTTGTTAAGTACTAGTTGTATGTGTTGTTTAGCACTAGTTGTATGTGTTGTTTAGATCTAGTTGTACATGTTGTTAAGTACTAGTTGTATGTGTTATGTAGCACTATTTGTATGTGTTGTTTAGCACTAGTTGTATGTGTTGTTTAGCACTAGTTGTATGTGTTGTTTAACTATAGTTTTATGTAAGGGTTGGCTGTAGTGGTATAAATATATAACTGCTTTTTCTTGAACAAAATATAACACATTTATGTAGAATCTGCTTTGTCCTCTTTTTTAAGGATTAAAAAAAACTTTTTATACAATATATTTACAATATTTCCTTTACATATGTAAATTTAATTATAATTATGTTTATTCTTCCTTTTTGATATATTGGTTAAACTTAGGTGTGACACCTGTTGTGGTTAAGGTTATACCTTGGTGCAACACCTGTAGTCGTTAAGGTTATACTTTGGTGTGACACCTGTTGTTGTTAAGGTTATACCTGGGTGTTACACCTGTTGTGGTTAAGGTTATACCTGAGTGTGACACCTGTAGTCGTTAAGGTTAATACTTTGGTGTGACACCTGTAGTCGTTAAGGTTCTACCTTGGTGTGACACCAGTTGTGGTTAAGGTTATACCTTGGTGTGACACCAGTTGTGGTTAAGGTTATACCTTGGTGTGACACCTGTTGTGGTTAAGGTTATACCTGGGTGTTACACCTGTTGTGGTTAAGGTTATACCTGAGTGTGACACCTGTAGTCGTTAAGGTTCTACCTTGGTGTGACACATGTTGTGGTTAAGCTTATACCTGGGTGTGACACCTGTTGTGGTTAAGGTTCTACCTTAGTGTGGCACCTGTTGTGGTTAAGGTTATACCTGGGTGTCACACCTGTTGTGATTAAGGCTTTAAGGCTGTAGACATTATTCATGTCAATCCCTGTAAAAATATAAATGTTATTTGCTACTTTAAATGTGCTAGGTTATATTCATGAAAGTGACAAATATCTGTCATTTAAATTTTGCTCTCCTGCCATTGTTACAATTACCATAACTGAGACTGTTTCAGTATACATTTATATTCATCTTTTTAACTAGCTTCAGATATTTTTTTCTAAACTGTAGGTACTTGTTATTTTTCTAATTTACTGGACAGTGGATTTTTCTTCAATGACAATGATTAGTAAGTCTCCTTTTAAAGATTTCAATGTAAAAAATCTTAATGCAAAAAGGAAAAAAAAAAGATAAATTTGAAGTATTTGAAAATATGTTCTTTTTAAATATTAAGATGAAAATCTGATAATTTGACAAGACTTGAAACATAAAGAATGTTTTAGAATTTTAATCTTTTTGATACGTTAAGAATAAGACACGTTGCTGTGCATGCAGTCTGTAATGTAGTTTTACTGTGATGGTTAGTCTACTCTATCTTGCCCTGTTAAATATCACTAGCATTAAAGAAAATAAAGTTATATGAACGATATGATGTGTTTGGCGTCATGTTGAGTCGACGAAAATAAGAACGAGTTATTTCCCTTCCCCCAGTACCGACAAGAAGCGACTTTTCCTGATGAAAAATCAAGAGATATTATGAATTAATCGACGTTCTCTTTCTCACTACTGGTTTCTTTCTTTTACTTAATATCCGGAAATATATACAATTTTTTTCTCGTGGATTCTTCATTCACAAGTTAGTTTAAGTTAATATATTAAATATAAAATCAGATTAAAAAAGAAAGAAATACGTTTCTGTCTTCAATTGAAAGTTTTAAATTAAATTGAATGTTCACATGTTTAAGTGTGAAACGTCCTGTTTGGTATATATTGTGTTTGTTTCCAGTCTGTGATAAATCCTCAACGCCGGACGCCGCTGAATTACACACAAGTACAAATCATACAACTGAGATCTTATTTTTGGTTTAATATAAAATCCTTTACATTAATGTCAATGTATATTGTAAAATTTGGTACAGAATCATAATAATATGCTTACGATATGACAATGTTGTTTACCGACAGCCACCTGGTAATATTTGTAAAATTACATGCTACGTCTGTTTGAACATGTGCTCTTAACACACGAGGAAGTCGGCTAGAACAGAAAAGTTCATTACGAATGATTAGCACCCTATATATACATTCTTTTGGTATTATATTCTCGTATAAGTGTACGTGATAATGTTTCTTTGTTATTTTTACATTTCATCATACATGTTCACTTTAAAGGGAATATTAATGTTTTCCGGTCATTCCAGGAAGTGTACTTATATTCAGATACCGTTTTTTTTTTTAAATATTTGGGTCACATCCGTAGTGTATAAACCAAATCTGTATTGGAACCCACTGAATGTAAGTTTAATTTCATTCGTATGAATCTGAATAGTAAAATAGGAGCCATTTTATCTAACTGATAATTTCTGATACTGAAATGATAAAAAAGACAATGAACAATTATCGTAAACAGCAATCTGCCTACCTGCAATAACAGTACACTACCTTACTCAGCATTTAAACTAACTTTAACATCACAGATTTTTCAGAGTTTCAGAAACGGATTTTCGATTGGTTTCTATTTTCGTGACCTACTGTTAAAGTGTCTTAGGAAACCCTTTACATTATAACATATATATCTATTATACACATTATAACAGCTGGTGAGCTTTCAAAAAATACGAAAATAAATGTGTTTCGATTTGAGATCCGATCATCCGGTCAGCAGATTGGATTAAATGTTCTCATTTATTGAGTTTAGCTTGAGAGATAACAAGTAAAAGCTGTATAAACAAGTATCACAATTAAGCTTAACGTATTATTCAACATTACCAGCAACCTACAGTTACAAATATATCGTTAATAGTTGTAATTTTAATGTGATCCGAAAGCGAACTTCACGGCATCAATCAACTTCATTGACCGTAACAATATAATTAGTGAATATTAAATATAATAATGAATTAATTTGTTAAACTACCATACTGGCGGTGATTACATTCCCAGTTCTCACCAGACGGCGCCTGCAAAGTTGTCGTGAAGCGCCACCTAGTGTTGATCCGGCGTGGATCTTTCATATAAAAGTTAATTTTCAATGCGCATGCTTGACAACCAAAAAGCTTGGCATTCCATAATGTAGACTTAAGACACTGGTACCGATCACCATAATTTTTCCCCAGATCTTAGCCGCATCATAGACATATGATTTAACCAAATATATCTTATGAAATAGGCTACCAACCGGAAAATTAATTGTCACCAACTGACAATTAAATCATATTTCAATCTTCGATCGGTTTTTCTTTGAGCTGTACTTTCTGCTCAACCCCAAACCTAAACTTACAAGAACCCTCTACATTGAAGATGACTGTTTTGTTTTCCACTTGATATCCACTTCGTCCCCGTTTCAGCTCGTCCGCCATGATAACAGAAAAGTCACCTTCTGTAGACTGTACAAAAGAATTGTTATCCTTTAAATTTAGCACGGAGACTATCACTATTCCTCGTATTCTCACTGACATTTTGTAGCTAGAAGTGAATTGCTTTTCTTTCACGACCATTTCCGCAGTGGTCGTGTGTTTTGCCGGCACCCTGACGGTGCTGTCTACAGCCCACGTGATCGATTCCTCGTGACAACTCTCCTCTGTATTATCCATATTTACTTCCCGTCCAAAACCTGCTGTTACTGCAGCCACTTCCTCCGGAAGTGCTAGTTTAAGTTCTAGATTAAACCCTTTGCTGTAGCCTTTTGAAACAGTAACCGTACTTACAGAAGTGGTGGTACGTTCTGTCTTGAAGGAATGTTCCTGTTCTTGGTCTGTATTGTTGACAAAAGTTGATGTGAAAACAACCTGCGAGTTTGGCATTTCTACCATTCGTCCGTCTGAAAATTCCGGCTGGCTGGTTATGAATCGAACTCGTGACCAATTCACGTCAAGCCTCACATCTTCAAGTTTTAATTTGCTGACGTCCTTCGACCTGGTCTTTTGAAAGGCCGTCCATGCCCATGTCTGTACAATTTCTTCGATGTCTGCTATGTTCGCCATTGGGTTTTTTCTGGAAATGTCAAAAACAAGAAACTATTGATAAAAGTAACCCCCGTTGAAAATAAACATATACAAAATGTATGTCAGTTTCAAATACTCATGATACCAGTTTCAGGTTCAATTGTGATCGTTTCAATATCACCCAATTAATAAACAAATCAAAAACATACAAAAAAACATGTTATTCATAACTTGTATTGAGGGCTCCGTTATACTACTGATAAGCTTAGTTTTTAAAATAGATGAGGTCACATTAGGACGAAATGACGGCGGAATTCTTTGGCTGCCGAGATACATATCTAGCATTATTTACATTCATGTATATGTGAGTTTTTTTATTGCTTATAAATTCTTATTTTCTAATTAAAATAACGCTGGAATATCAGTGTGCAGAAAACCTCGTCAACAGAAACGAGTCAAATCTCCATATCGAAGCTAATTTAACGTCTCTACAGAAAATGTCATCGTGAAGAGAAACTAATCACAGTTCTGTACAGACATTGTTAAAGTGATCCATTGTATCTCTAGAGAGACTGGTCACATCTCTGTACAGACATTGTCACGATGATATATTGTATCTCTAGAGAGACTGGTCACATCTCTGTACAGATATTGTCTCGGTGATACATTGTATCTCTAGAGAGACAGGTCACATCTCTGTACAGATATTGTCTGGGTGATATATTGTATCTCTAGAGAGACTGGTCACATCTCTGTACAGACATTGTCACGATGATATATTGTATCTCTAGAGAGACTGGTCACATCTCTGTACAGACATTGTCTCGGTGATGTATTGTATCTCTAGAGAGACAGGTCACATCAGTGTACAGACATTGTCAAGGTGATACATTGTATCTCTAGAGAGACTGGTCACATCTGTGTACAGACATTGTATCTCTAGAGAGACTGGTCACATCTCTGTACAGACATTGCCTCGGTGAGACATTGTATCTCTAGAGAGACTGGTCACATCTCTGTACAGATATTGTCTCGGTGATACATTGTATCTCTAGAGAGACAGGTCACATCTCTGTACAGACATTGTCTTGGTGATATATTGTATCTCTAGAGAGACAGGTCACATCTCTGTACAGACATTGCCTCGGTGAGACATTGTATCTCTAGAGACTGGTCACATCTCTGTACAGACATTGTCACGATGATATATTGTATCTCTAGAGAGACAGGTCACATCTCTGTACAGACATTGTCTCGGTGATATATTGTATCTCTAGAGAGACAGGTCACATCTGTGTACAGACATTGCCAAGGTGATACATTGTATCTCTAGAGAGACTGGTCACATCTGTGTACAGACATTGCCTCGGTGAGACATTGTATCTCTAGAGAGACTGGTCACATCTCTGTACAGATATTGTCTCGGTGATACATTGTATCTCTAGAGAGACAGGTCACATCTCTGTACAGATATTGTCTCGGTGATATATTGTATCTCTAGAGAGACAGGTCACATCTCTGTACAGATATTGTCTCGGTGATACATTGTATCTCTAAAGAGACTGGTCACATCTCTGTACAGATATTGCCTCGGTGAGACATTGTATCTCTAGAGAGACTGGTCACATCTCTGTACAGACATTGTCTGTGTGATACATTGTATCTCTAGAGAGACTGGTCACATCGCTGTACAGATATTGTCACGATGATATATTTTATTTCTAGAGAGACTGGTCACATCTCTGTACAGATATTGCCTCGGTGAGACATTGTATCTCTAGAGAGACTGGTCACATCTCTATACAGATATTGCCTCGGTGAGACATTGTATCTCTAGAGAGACTGGTCACATCTCTGTACAGACATTGTCTCGGTGAGACATTGTATCTCTAGAGAGACTAGTCACATCTCTGTACAGACATTGTCACGGTGATACATTGTATCTCTAGAGACAGGTCACATCTCTGTACAGATATTGTCTCGGCGATACATTGTATCTCTAGAGAGACAGATCACATCTCTGTACAGACATTGTCACGATGATATATTGTATCTCTAGAGAGACTGGTCACATCTCTGTACAGATATTGTCTCGGCGATACATTGTATCTCTAGAGAGACAGGTCACATCTCTGTACAGACATTGTCACGATGATATATTGTATCTCTAGAGATACAGGTCACATCTCTGTACAGACATTGTCACGGTGAGACATTGTATCTCTAGGGAGACTGGTCACATCTCTGTATAGACATTGCCTCGGTGAGACATTGTATCTCTAGAGAGACTGGTCGCACATCTGTACAGAATCTGTGTCGATGACGTCACTAGATAAACTACTCGCATCTCTTTACAAAGGTTATTTTTCATTATTTTCTCATATAGCTAAGCATCGCTAAAATGAGAGGAAATGTAAATCTGTATCTATATAAAGTTTCCTTTTTTAACTTATACAAGAGCTCTTGGTCAATGTTCAATGTAATTTCCTCGATACATGTACTAAATTCCACCGAGAAAAAATGTAAAATAAATCATTCAATTCATGTTCACTTTGAACATCAGTACTTAATTAGATACATGTAAAAATCGACGATTATAATTTTACATCACTACGACATAGAAAACTATTCAAACTGATTAATAAGCCTGTGTGTCCATTGGCAGAGATATGTGTGGTTATTGAAACAGTCAAATCCTGACAGACATCAAGAACAGTGACACATGAAGCCTTTGGAAAGTTGACCCGCGGCTCCGCACAATCGGAATGAAATCTAATACCGTGATATTAATAGGGTTGGTATACCTTTATTTGACATAGATACTTAAGTCGTACATCACATTACCCGTTTCACCTTCAATACAGAGGAGTTACAATGGGTTGACTATTGTCGTATATCATATACTTGTCTTCAAGACAAAGGGTACTTTCCGCTTGTTTTTCAATCCCAAATATACACTGTTTGGAACACCTGTTGGACAAGTCCTTAAATAAAATACTTTTTAAACTAATACAAAAGAGTTACAATTGATTGAGTTACATATATATTTTTTCTTTGGTTTGGTATAAATTTTAGTGACAGAAATTTGAAAACCTACATATTAATGATTAGCATACTATTTATTCAATACGCTTAACATATCTTGTATAATGTTTCAAGACTCGTCTGTTGATTTTTCGTCTCACGATCCCCAAATGACCAGTATTGTGCTTAATCCAGAAAGAATGATGTTTTGTCTTATACTCCATGAAAGGATAACGGATAGATTACGTTACTCTGGGTATGTACTATAGAAATTCTATTCTGAAGTTTTACGACCGTTTGTACAGCTATCCGGATTAAATTTACACCTTGCTTTGTGTATTGTGATACCCATAAACACTCTAAGTTCAGCCCATATATGTATATAAAACTCACAAATACCGCACTTGAGCCACAATAACACATTTTAACGAGCTCGTGTGTTCGTTTCACGTTCAAGTACCTGTATATCATTACAATGCACCATCACCTTGTTATCATCCACATCTAAGTGCCTGTACAATAGTGATAAACTGTTGTTTACATACTGTATGTTCTTAATGTGTAAACACCAGTACAGACCCCAACCTGTCACAGAAATTCTGCATTTTCTGAATATCTGATTTACAAATCTTTGCTTTAATTACAACACATTTCTATTACGTGTGAAATAACTTGTCTTTGCGAATGAGTGCTAGTTTTTTTTTCTATTATACTATACATTTTTCAAAACTGCAAAGTGGTCGCTCGATGCAGGTACAGTGTATTCCTGCCAACTCTTTACAAACGACCTCTGACAAAATTCACGAGAATGTTTGATTACATCCTAGAAACGTCTAATTTCTACTTAGATGAAAAGTCAATCATGTTTTTCAGTTGCTAATTAATTATACGTAATCAGATTTATTAATCAATCAACTACAATTCGATGTACAGTGTGACACTTCTATCTTGTATTGAATCTCGTGTAGTCAACAGAAAAAGACACGAAATAGTTTTATTTCATATACCCAAGTGTACATATTGCAAAAATTGAATTTAAAAAATTTAAATGATAAGTTTGATCTTACTAATGTTACTTGCTTTTACCACATATGTATAAAATCTGATTAACCAAGGCAACGAATTTCCAACATTATCAACTATATGGGTTTTTTTTTTTTTAATTTATATGCCGGAAAAATATCATATTCAATTTTGAACTTAAATGTACACTGCTTTCTAGATCAAATATGAGTTTGCTAACACAAGATGGTATGTCGGACTGATTAGTCAGTCTTGTAAATATTTGTGCGTGACGAGTATAAAATGAAGACCTCGTCTCTATACAATTCATCCTGTGATAAATTACTTAATATCTTCCGATATCATTGAATAAGCATTTGTAATTGGCTGGAATTTACACAAGGTTGTAGATAAAATAAATTCCATTTGACATAGATACTAAACAACTTGAAATCCGTTCTCCTTGTTGTGTACCGGTATACAAACGTCATTATTTGTTCCCTGAAGAGGGCGGACAACAAGACTTAGTATTATTGTTGTGACCCTTGTTAAGTTATGTCATTCGGAACACCTCAGCCTTTTCTAACCACTCCCGGTTTATCGCCGACACGTTGATTTTAAAATATGCAACTGGACAAAAATAATTCTTTATATCAAATAACGTATTATGCAAGAATTTTTTTTTTAATTCTGACATTCATAACTTCATAACATGAAAGAATTCAAATTGGGCGCCTAACCTAATATACGGCCAACTCTTTATTCTGGATTGTTCAAAACAAGTGTATGAATTTATTGGCACAGTTGCAAGCAACAACAAAAAAATCATGTTAAACAAAAACTATATAAAAGTTTCTGTTGTCAGGACACTTGCCAGAAAATAAATAAAAGGAAAAATGACGAACCACAAGGGTGAAAATGATATGTAAGTAATTATCATAGAAGAAACTGTAATAGACCCATGTCACGTGGCCACGTATCATCTGTGTAGAGTTTATAGGGGTGTGTTATTAGATATACTCA